CAAAACCAAGATGGTGGACATAAAGTCAGTGATTTAAGAAACAAAAAAAGTTTAAATACAAGCGAATTAAGATGTCACTTTGAATGCTAAGTTATGTTAAGGCGAGCTGTTGATGGTTCCATGTTGTTATTTGTGTGTTTTAAGAGTAAAATGTTCATGTAACGTTTGGTTTAAGTACTGTTTAAGCTTATCACAACACTGGGTAGCAGGGTTGCCAGGTTGGGTTGTTTCCCGAATACTTTTCTTCCATGCGACTTGTAGGTAATGAATAGACAGAAAGACAATCAACAGAATCATGATAGCTCAAGTTGATTACATAACGTTTTTAGTCAAAAAATAATTCTGGGTGTGTTGTTTTTTTGGGCATTCTCGCGGGTTTTGGGCTGGAAAATCTTGCCGGCATTTGGCAACCCTGCAATGCACTGAGGAGTTGTGTTCTGAATTTTGTGCTTCAATACGAGTGATTGAAGGAACACGTCATTCAAGATAACAGACAACTGGTTTATCCAATCACATACAAGGATTTTTTACAAAGCCCTGCCTTCTGAAATTCCTCCGCTATGAAGCAGACCGTGGCGAGAGTCAGGCTAGACATCTTCACCATATTAAAAAAATACATGTGTTTGCTGCAAACCCTATATAAGCCGCAGGGTTCAAAGAAATGGAAAAAAGTAGTGGCTTATAGTCCGGAAATTACGGTTGTCTCCCATTTGCACTCAATACAATATATATATTTACATTAGAAAAACTTTACAGCTCCAGTGAATGGGACATATGTGATCAATCACACATGGCTGGACATATTATGTACATCTGTTATGGAGATTTTTCACTTACGGTTTCCTATATATTTCAACACATCAGCACACTCAGGTACACACACACACACTCAGGTACACACACCCTCTATACCACCTGTTCTCTCTAACTGTTCCTCCTGTATCTTCCCTTGATTTTCCCTGTGTCTGAGCCAGTGATACTAATAAAAGATACAGAAATCTCTTGGTCTTGCTCTCTCTGCTGAAATGAGTCACTTCCTTGCCAGGGCTTGGGTTTCTGGACTGCGGCCAGACGATCCCCTGCTATTTATTGCCCCATTCCTGCACCAAGACGATCGAGAAACGGTTAGGAGGAGGTTGGAGAAGGGGCATACCGAGACAAAAGTGTCGGTTACAAATAAATCCGTTCCAACGTTTCCGCACTGAAAGAATGCACCCTTCCTGGACAGTTGTAGCGAATCCGCCGGGGCCCAGAACACACTCGCCTTTAATTCCACAGATGATGTTTGAGTTGTTGAACTTCCACTCTTCCTGGCTCAGAAGGGTCCATGTTTTCCGTGACGTCCCATCGGAGATTGATGTCCCTCGCTCGGCTCTTAGTCAAAGGGAAATGATCTGGCTTTTTTTTGGCCACATATGCAAAGCGCGAAAACGCACACAAACTGTCAGTCATGATAAAAACACAACCTGGTGAAACAGTGGGAGCTCTTTTCCATCGATGAGGAAGGATTATGGTTAAAGAGAGACACTGAACAAGATGTAGAGGTTTTGTTCTCACATTTTTGCTGCGCTCAAAGATTCAATTTGATTTAAATCAATGTATTCTTGCATTGCTCTAAATCCCAATGTCAATGTCCAGCTGCCCAAAGTGTTACACAGGCATGAAAGATATGAAAATAAAAGAAAACAGCATAGAATATACTGTATATACTGTACATGCATGTAAAAAGGAAAATGGTAAAACATTGTGTAAAAATGTGTCTTTAGACAAGATTAAAAAACTTCCAATGAAGGAGCTGCTCTAATGAACAGTGGTCACTATTCCACAGTTTGGGGGCAGCAACAGAAAGAGCCCAGTCAAGTTTTTAGACAAGATTAGTCTAGATAACTATGGAAAACAATAGTTATCTAAGAGGACTGTGGACTCGCCAACTCTGATCAGAGAATCAAACAGTTCATACACAAGAAATACAATGATAAAAAAAAAATGCTTAGAGCCATTGGTCCATAAGGGGCAGAGACCCATCCATCCATCCATTTTCTACCCTTTAATCCATTTCTGGGTCAGGGGGGTGACAGTCAGAGATGCCACCCAAGTCTCATAGCAGAGACCAATGTCCATAAATGTTGAAAAAGGTCCATAAATGTTGTTGAATGTGGATGGTCCGGGATCATCACCGCTGTCCTGAGACCCTTCTGTCATGTTCGAGGAAACTTAAATCCTTCCATCTGCCCTATAGTGGTGCCAGTTATATATGTAGTTTTTTTGGAATCTCAAAATTGAGATTTGACTTATAATTGAGATTTGTTATAAAATAAAGAAGTCCATGTGCGTGATAATCAGACATGCTGTCATTGGAGAGTGGTTATTTGGTTATTTTATTTCTTCCATGAAAAGCAAACAAAGTAAGTAAAATACAGTGTGCGTATGAGTTTTGGTGGTCAAAGATACCAGGGCGAGCAATTATATTTTGGGTTGTTGAATAATAAAACAACTTTGAGCGTGTAAAGCAGGGGTAACAAGCGCATTTTGGTCGGGGGCCAAGTTCAAAAACATTTTCTAGTCTGTTGATTTAGATTCAATCATAACTGAGCCAAATATTCTATAAAAATGTAATTGAGGGTTGATAGTTAACCCTCTCCAGGCAGTCTCTTTTTACCACAGCTGGCCAATGTTGCAAATCTGCAACATCCCAGAATGCATTGCCTGTGAACGTTTCTCTCTCATAAAAGGTCAGGTCATATTACTACCTTTATATTGAATGGGTTTTCCCATCATTCAAATGTAATTGGGCCCTGAGAGGGTTAAATATAGAAAATTATAGTAAATTAATATTGGGCCTTTTTTTTGAGTTGCACGTTAGTTAACATTTTTTGAACAGATTAAATTATATGATTGTTTTATTGAGAAAATAAACTTTAAACTGAAGTTTAACATGCCATAGAAGCCCATTACCACCAATGCGGCAAGTAACTGTAATAAGTATAATCTAAAATAATTTCAGGAGCCACAAAAAATGTCTGGTGCACACTGGGGACTTTTGCACATATTTTCCAACGTGGTTTTACTGCAAACAGCAAATCATCTGAATGTGAGATACTCTGAGATAATGGATCGCCTGGCTGCGTAGTCCAGTTTCTGCTAATATCCAGCAACTTCACGCAGTACCAACATTTATGTGAATGAGATGTGTCCAGGGTTTCTAGACCCCTGTTGTTGATTCGTTACGATGAAAGATGGCCGACCTCCAACAGATACGGTAAACCATCGTTCCACAACCTTTGTGAGCCGTGACAAACCTTTTTCATTTAAAACATCCACATGTCACACCTGCAGCTGAGTCTGAATCTCTGCATCCTTTATTGATAAACCAAAGTCATTCTCAGTCACAGTCATTGGACCTGTGCACATGTGTGTGCGTGTGTGTTTGTGTGAGTTGTCTTGTCTTATACCAGGGGTGCCCAAACCTTTTGCTTCCAAGGGCCAAAGTAAAAATGTGTCAGTGGGCCGCGGGCCAAATACACCGATATTGCGCATGAAACACAAATAAATGTAGATTTGATCAAGTTCTTTTAAATGCATTAATTATTGTCTATCAGTGCAAATCACAGCTGAATGAATGAAATCGGGCGGCACGGTGGGTGAGTGGATAGCACTCTTGCCTCTCAGCAAAAGGTCCTGGGTTCGAATCCCGGTTGGAACAGGGTCTTTCTGAGTGGAGTTTGCATGTTCTCCCTGTGTCTGCGTAGGTTTCCCCCGGGTACTCTGGTTTCCCCTACCACTAAAAATATGTACAATAGTTCTAGCATGCGCCTCCTGTACTGGCGACCCCGCTCCCATCTCTGTGTGGAGTGAGAGACAAATGCCCAAAAAATTAACAATTGAAACCGCTTTGAGACTCTGGTCTGCAGTGAAAAGGCGGTATATAAATAAAGATTACTACTACTACTACTACTACACAGTGAAGTGGAGGCTCCTGGGAAATATGCTCCACTTTGGGCACCCCTGTATTATACCATCAGTGGTAGTAACTGTATTGTTTTTACTGCATATACTGTACAGTAAACTTTTGTATAATGTGATTTGTAGATTTACCCAGTATGGTATCGTTTCTGTATTGTCTTATTGTTTGTTCTGTGTTTTCTGGGTGAGGGGGGTTTGGATTAATATGAGTGTTTTGCTTCCTCCAACCCCTTTTCAATCCCTGTCCGTGCTTTTGTTTCCTTTTTCCTAAATATATTATTTCCTAAGTATATTATACAGAAAATCCAACAAACAAAAACGTCTTTCTAATCTTCCCACATTAATTTATTTTCACATTTATTTTGGCCAATAAGGTGATAATGTTCAACGGCTAAACATAGAGATTTTTTACTTGCTTCTTTGTTATGCTAAAGCTACAGATTTGATACCTGTTTTTTTTTTATTTTTTTTTATGTTCTTTTATTGGAGTATAAGATAAAATAGTACAGAGTTATTGTTCATTTATCTTGTGCTGTATGCTCCTCATTCCCTCTGTTCTGTAAACCAGTGATGCAACACTGACATTTCCCCACTGTGGGACGAATACAGAATCTCTTCATCTTAATCTTAATCTTAATCCAACTCACTAACGCACCAACAGTGTATGACAAGTTTTAGCCCGTTACAAACCCAGGCTCGCTCTCAGAAGCCAAGAGACTTAGATTTATTTAGTAACACAAAGTCTAGCGATTGCTTATTTCTGGTCGTCTGGTTGTTTGGTTTGGGAGAGAGTTGGATATTTCAGAATCTCGCCTTTGTTTTTAAATCCTGGCACTTGTCTGCGTTCTCCTGCTTACACACTCAGCATGCACTTAACCCCATACTTCCATATAACCACATCCACAGGATCCACGTGAATCCAAAACATTCCATTCAGCTCAGGTTCAGGCACATCCCCCTAATAGAGGGGTTTGCACTTTTATTCATGGCCCGTCTTGGAGTATTCTGCAGCTTTACAACTACCAGCCTCACACTTGTCAGCTCCTCTCCCCCACACACCCCCCCAACCTCTGCCACACCACATCGTCAGTCCACCACTGCTTTCGGAAAACACGCAGGATTGTGATTTAAATGGCTTTTTTGAGGAGTTCTAATCCACCGGAGGCACATAAGTCAGACAAAGGTAGCTCCGTAAAGGCCCGGCGAATTCCACCGTTCAGAGAGGAAGTCTTAAATCCTGAGCTTCTCTTAAATACTCCTGAGGTGACTTATTAATGGAACAGTTTTGACTTGTGTGTATAGATGCTTGACGGAGTGCGATGGGCTCAGATGCACCGGGAGAAACCCTAATGCGCGGCGACAAAGGACGAGGACAAACGGCGATTCTTTGGCTTGTTTTACTATTGTCTGCTTTGAAAGAGGCGGAAAGGTGTTTCCAGCCTGCCACAGAAAAGGCCACTTTGGAAGGACAAAGAGGCACAGACGAGCAGCGACATGCGTTACACTAAGTCCATCTACGAACACACTATTAAAATACTATTGTCAACACACACACACAACACACAACAGCTTTGGTTGTGGTCAGTTTGACGACAAAGGTTATGGTTCGACACGTATAGCATCAATTACTTTGCCAGTATAATTTTTCAAAATGTGATTTCTTTGGCAAATTTTGTTTCCAAGTGCCAATATTTTTAAATCTATGGTAAGCCTTTCCTATTTATGTGAATCCATAAAAAGTACATTATTTGGGTTATTTTTTAAGAGTTATTGTTCATTTATCTTGTGCTGCGTGCTCCTTATTCACTGAAAAAAGGGATGAAAAATAAGTCCAACATTTCTCAAAATTGGCAAAATATATCTTAATTTGAGCACATTCTGACTGCCTTAAAACAAGAGATACTAATGGGACAAAGCAAAATCATATAGTTAAAAAAAAAAAAAAACAAGAAAAGTATAGCAATAGTTCTTGAAAGTGTCCCATTGGGGGATCTTGTGTAAAGACAGTCGTAATGTACTCAAACCGGACTATAAACCGCACCGGATTATAGTCTGTACCTGTTATTGATATTGAAAAATGTTGCTCAAAAACGTCCATTATGTTCTTATTACTGTAAGAATTGAGTCAGCGGCTGTTCTTAATCTTCAGTGTGAAGCAGAAAGATAAACATCTTCTGTCTCTTTTTCACTTTCATGACTATGCAAGGAACTAAAAACAATGTATGATATGAGATATTTACACAAAAATATTATAAGTGAGGACTTTTAAACTTTATTTAATCCAATGGGTAACAAAAAAATATTATAAATGCTTTTTCTCTAATGCTGCCTGTAACCTTTATTTATACAATCCGGTATTTCTTCTAGTATTTTCCATGTTGACGAGTGTGAGTACAAATGACAAATCTCACAATTTATTTGGACCTCTGTAAACTACTCATCAGTTCTGGTGGTCTACAGTTACTCAGCACCACAGAAAAACAAATGTATTTATTATTTATTTTACAGTAGATTAAAAACACTGTTACCTCATATTATATGGCAGCGTTCCTATTATTCTGATGATGCAACACTGACATTTCCCCTCTGTGGGACAAATATAGGTTTTTTTTTTAAATAAAACTATTTTCCAAACTATAAGTGAAGTGACCATAAGTTACAAGTTGTGGAAGTCTGCCACAAAACTGGGACAGTGGGAGGGGAAAAACCCTCAAAGCTGCGTGCTTCCTGTTAGCATTAGCTACATTAGCTGCCAGAGTTTAATTGGTTTTAAACAGGTTGATTTAACACATTTTACTTTAATAATTTGAAAGACAAAACTTATGTTTATTTCCGATCTGTTACTGATCCGAGAAACAATCCAAACCGTTAGTTTTCAATCCGTTGCAGCCCTGATAGAAAGATAGATTAATAGATAGATACTTCATGGATCCCTGTCGGAGAAATTCAGGTGAAACATGAACCTCCTTAAACAACAGAGTAAATGACAACATAAAAACATCAAAACTTGTGAAAAGCGTGTTATGTTCCTTTTAATAATCATTGGCAAATATGAGAAATTGGCGTTTCTATTCTCGTCAAGCCCCTGCAGCGACAGAGAAGTAACCGATACATTACTCAATTAACAGTTGTTTGTCAGTTGAGCTGGAGGCTAAAGCTAACGCCGCGCTGCGCCAAAGCAGCTTCAATCCATCACGAGCTCTGAGTTTTATGTGTCCACGTTGTGACCTGTTCAGAGCTGTGGGGCATGTCGTCTTCAAGGAAACAGAAGCAGCACTTAGAAGCATGGCTAACCACCTCATGTATTGATAAACGTAAAGGCATGGCTAACCTCCTCATGTATTGATGAACGTAGAAGCATGGCTAACCACATTATGTATTGATGAACGTAGAAGCATGGCTAACCACCTCATGTATTGATGAAAGTAGAAGCATGGCTAACCACCTCGTGTATTGATGAATGTAGAAGCATGGCTAACCTCCTCCTGTATTGATGAACGTAGAAGAATGGCTAACCACATTATGTATTGATAAACGTAGAAGCATGGCTAACCGACTCATGTATCGATGAACGTAGAAGCATGGCTAACCACATTATGTATGATGAACGTAGAAGCATGGCTAACCACCTCGTGTATTGATGAATGTAGAAGCATGGCAAACCTCCTCATGTGTTGATGAATGTAGAAGCATGGCTAACCTCCTCATGTGTTGATGAATGTAGAAGCATTGCTAACCTCCTCATGTGTTGATGAAAGTAGAAGCATGGCTAACCTCCTCATGTGTTGATGAACGTAGAAGCATGGGTAACCTCCTCATGTATTGTTAAACCTAGAAGCATGGCTAACCTCCTCATGTGTTGATGAATGTAGAAGCATGGCTAACCTCCCCATGTATTGATGAACGTAGAAGCATGGCTAACCGCCTCATTATCGATGAACGTAGAAGCATGGCTAACCGCCCCATGTATTGACAAACATAGAAGCATGGCTGACCACATCATGTATTGATAAACGTAGAAAAACGGCCTAACCTCCTCAAATATATATTGATAAACGTAGAAGCATGGCTAACCACCTCAAGCATGTGTTTATAAATGTAGAAGCACTTCTAACCACCTCAAACCTGTTAATGAACTGAAAAAGCATGACAATCAATGCAATTAGAAGCATGGCTGACCACTTCAGACCTATATTAATGGCATATACTGTAGGAGGATTTTCAAGCTGGATCATTAACACTATTGGTCCTAATTGTTCATCGTTCTGGTGATATGTGATTAGAGGCCGTCGTCAAACAAGACCAGAATGTTTTTGGGATATTCATTCACACAATAGTGCTAAAAGCCCAGGTTCCACCGATGCTTCAGTCGCTAAGTTTCTACTCGACAGGTAAAGTTTGGAGAAATCCTTTTCAAATCTACGTTTATATTGTCTGACACAGTGGAAAAAGTCAAATCTTTCTCACACACGTTTTAGTCTGCGTTACCTCTCGGGAGCAAAGCGCTTTAGTTGGCATTCCCTTTGGCAGTTCTTTCCTAAAATTCAAGAAAGTCCTCCTATATACCTTTAATGAACTTAGAAAAATGGCTATTGTATACAGTCTGCGTGACATTGGACAAACATTGTGGTTCAAGTCTGTTTTGTGTCTTTTTACATTGCGTTACCATCTGCAAAAGTTAATCCATAACCAACCCATTTTTTCAGTACGGACAATTAAAAGAATAGGCCACTGTTTTTACATACTGACATATGTTCTTACCTTACCTTAGACTAGTTGATATGTACCTGTCTGGTCTTTGTCCGTGCGTTCTGTCATACAAACGGAGAACAAACGCAGCCTCTTCCACATACTGTATAGTACCAAATCAGCTCCCCTTTAGAAGCTACCAAACTCTTCCACGTGTTTCCTATTTAAATACAGTTACGTGACGTGTTACAGCTTCTAACGGGAGCTGATTCGGTACTATACCCTCCTAAGACCCGAGCACTTTTTTGCCATGCATTTTTTATTTATCTTTGATAATTGGGCTTATTGGGGCCAGATAAGAATAATATACTAAGCATAATCTCTTGATATGATGTAATTTTTGAGAAAAATGCTGTCCACATATGTGGACGCTCGGTCTGAATTTCCATAAAATGCAATAAAGTGATTACTGTGTAATAAAGTGCAAAACTCTTTATTTCCACACAAACATTTGATCAATGAACAATATTGAACAATGAACATGTTCAAACATATCACAGTGCAAAAACAGCAAAAAGAAAAGCAATTATACCACAGTCACTACTTTTAGTGCTACACACAGTTTCAGGAAGACATCATAGACATACTCACACAATTAACTTTATTCTATAGGAACAAGCCAAGTATCAAAGTGCAAAAAACAAATATTAAACAACAGTTTGCCCCTTCTTGCCCAACTGGCTGATTTGAAGTTCTGAACAAAATATAAAAACATCTATAAAAATCGGCAATTCTGCTCATTTCTATTTGGACATGTTCGCTTCTACGTGTGAAAGGCTGTGTAACAGTTGCGCTCCGCTTGCAAGCAAAGGAATACCTTGCATGTTGCACACCTCACTCGGGTTTTAGCAGCACAGCCTGATGCTCTACAACGAGCGGCATTCTTCAGGCTGATCACCTCCGGAAGATGTGCATTAGCCATTCTACGGACTGAAATATGGGGCACTGCCCTCACTGGATGGTTTGTTCTTGGTTCCGGAAGCTCAGGATCCTTTGCCAGTTTCGAAAAGTTAGTGTTGTCTTCTCTGAGGTATTGCTGGGCTAAGAATGTCTGAGCGACTTCTGTACGAAACTCAAGGAACTGAATGATGCTCTTCTTTGGTGTACTACATGCAGTTAGATCTTTGCGGTACTGTAGCCAGCTGTTGGCTAAAGCCAGGTCTGTAAAGTGCATTAGCATGCGCAAGGTCCACTTCTTTGCACGGACGCTCATACGATAGTAACTCATCATCCGGTCTACCAAATCTACCCCACCCATCTTGGAGTTGTATTCGCGAATGACGCTTGGTCGTGAGATGGTCACATATCGTTTCTGTTTCTTGTCCCATCGCTTGCAGGTGTCTTCTGGCTGTGTACCATGAACAGTAGACATCAGGACCGTTTTATTGTCGTACCAATTCACCACAGACATCTTTCCATCCTCAGTAGTTACCTCTGCTGAGGTACCTCTTCCAGCCTTTTTCATCATTTTGTCTGTTGGTAGCTTCTGCACTGCTTCAGCAATACGATTTTTCATAACAGTACCAGTCACATACACGTTCTTCTCCATCATTCGTTCCACACATTGGGTGGTTGTAAAGAACCGGTCACAGTATACCATTGTACCAGAATACAGAGTTTGACACAGACGATCAATGACCAAGCCTCCCAAACCCAAAGCCTCTGGTTCTTCAACTTGCTCAAGCAGTGCATTTGCACCTTGGTAGACCTCAAAGTCAAGCACAATTCCATCTGCTGTAGCACAAACAAAGTTCTTCATACCAACTGGGTTGGGCTTCATTGGCAGATATTGCCGACATGGACAAGCTCCAGTAAATGGTATCATCTGCTCGTCAATAGAGACACAATTGGGTTGAGCCTGAACCTTGCAGCCTTTAAGAACACGATCCAGAAAAGGCCTTACTTTCCAGAATTTATCACCCTGCTTCTGGTCTTCTGGAACGTCATCATCAATGACCACTTTCAGTGATCCCCTTAGTCTGAAAAATGTGTTGCGTGTAAATTTTTCCACGATGGCAGGAGCTCTCAGGCGCTTGGACCAGTCCATCCTGATTTGTGGGAATGGAACGCTGGACATCAGAATACAGGCACCAAAGAAATTATACATCTCGTCAACTGATGTGTTGAGTAGGCTCCCACTTCTTCCCAGTGCGGTTGCATTAGAACAATCTACAATAATCTGGATCAGCTCTTTATCTATATACTGTTCCACATAGTCAAGCGGAGTCCAGCCTTCTCTGTCCTGCCCAGTTTCCTCCTCATGCTCAAACTGGGCTAAGTTTGGAGTTAGTGGAGTAGCCCTCCAACGCATTCCACGTCCGTTCTTGGACTGGGTTGGTCTTGGTCCTGGTGTTCGCTCTTCAGGGTCATCATTTGAGCTATCAACAATGGCTGAGTCAGATGGTGACAAAAAAAGGAATCGTGTTGGACCGCAACGACTCCGAGAGCGTGAACCACCACTTTCAACTCGATGACGTTTACGTCCCCTGTTGAGCTCAATGGGCTGGAGAATAGGATCCTCGTCCCCTCTGCTGTCCTCACTGCAGCTCCGCTCCCGTTGTGGAGGTTCATAATCAGTGTCCAGCATGTCATCATCAACATCTGATAAATCTTCCACCTCTGAGTTGTCTCCAAAAATGGTCTCCGAAAACACCTGCTCTACTGTTTTCAAAGAAAGACGACCTGGGGAAAGCATAATACAAAACGATTTAACTCATAGAAAATAGACCAAATCAAAGAGCAAGTAAGCACTCATTCTGGAATTATATAGTATGCTGGAAGCCAATTGGTGGCCCTTTTAGTTGATGGTGACATAGAATAAATTGACAATAACAGTAAAAAATTCCATCGAACACAGGGGCATTCCACATGCGATAGAACAATTTTCAACAAAACTAAGTCCTTCTGTCCACATATGTGGACATCATGTTTAGCAGTCCAGAAAAAAAAATGTACACTGTAATTATTGTAAAATTTACATTCCATGACAAACATACATCACTTATAAAACTATCTGAACAAGAATACACTTTGAAATTGAATTGGATTTTTTACCTGGTCGATGTTTTGGTCGAGAACTTGCATGTGAACTTTCCTGTGCGCAGTCGGCTATTTTGTTTTATGCTAGCTTGTGCTGTAATTCCTCCAACACTACTAGAGGGCAGTGTAGGTATTGCTGTATGTGGACCCCAGGCCCCAATAAATCAGAATGAAGTATTATGTTTGTACAGCCCAAAATGTGATGTCCACACATGTGGACGGCAGGTCTTAGGAGGATACAGTATGTGGAAGAGGCTGCGTTTGTTCTCCGTTTGCATGACAGAGCGCACGGACAAAGACCAGACAGGTACAAATCAACTAGTCTAAGGTAAGGTAAGAACATATGTCAGTATGTAAAAAACGGTGGCCTATTCCTTTAAGATCAGTTATTGGTCCCACAGTGGGGAAATGTCAGTGTTGTGTCACCAGCTACACAACAGTTGGAATGAGAAGCACACAGCACAAGATAAAGTACTGTATATTCTAGTGCAATAGATATATATTGTGTGTGTTTACATCTGTACATGTTAGCAGCACAAGGCTCTGGGACACAGTGGTTTCATATTGGACGATTCAATAATTATCCAAACCATCCTCTCCATCTCCGTCTTTCATAGAGTTTAAATCCTGATCTAAAGTAGACGTTGGACGATCATTTCCTTAACCGTTGCCCCTCATTGCGCAGAGGCTCCTCACCCAGGCCCCTCTCTCAAAGGCCTTCCTCGTGCAGTTTCCATGGAGCTCTTTCTTTGCTCTTTTCAGCAGCTCTGGCTCAGCCGGGGCCTCGGGACAAAGTTAGAGAGAGAGAGAAAAAAAAGGAATCCGGCAACATGTGAACCCTCTCCAGCTCTGACAAGCTTTCATTTGGCTGATCTTATCTCGCCACAGGAGGAAATTGCCTCTGATGACTTCCATAAGTGAAACAACAGTGTGGAGTACAGTGCATGTAGGCGGTAAACTCCCACCCCCATCCCCTCTCTTCTCTGGACGGTGCCCCCCCCATCCCCTCTCCTCTGGACACCCCTGGTCCGGCAGTAGAGGAGGGAAATAACTTTTTTTGTAGTTATTTATTTGATTGGTGCAACACACATTAATGAACAATCATATGAAAGTTGTAAACAAATTGTAAATGTGCCAGATTATAGCAAAACTGCTGATTTACATCCCAAGGCAGGTCACACAATAATAAGAATACAAAACAATAACATTAAACAACTATACAAGTTACAGTTAGTTAAAATGAGTGCAGGACTGATTTACTTTAATATGCTTTTTAATTTTAAGTGCGTTTTATGTTGGGCTTTCTCTTATGTCTGTAGGAAGGTTGTTCCCACCGGGGGCAAGCCAAAATGACGTGTGCTGACATGCTTGCAATAAGCTCGGGCCGATGGGGGTGGACCCGGAATAAGAATTAGCCAATGTTAACGTATAGCATCTTCTTACCTCTTAAAAACTTTTTTACAGGATGGTCCAAAAGTTGGCTCTTGGCCCAAAGCTCCGTTCCACATGTGTGTCAATGCTGAGGGGGGTGAATTTTTTTGGACCAGTCTAGTTTACTCGCTGTGAATTTTTGAAGTCACTTGTTCAAATGAATGGGGCTCTTGCGCAGATGCGTTTTTTTCACATCACTCCATGAAAGCCGGATTTTTGGGCCATTAGTTAGAACAGGAGAGATAGGCGTGACTACGACCGTTAAGATATACCGTCTACGGTTGTTCCAAAACTGACCTCCTTTGACTGACAGCACCGTTTGTCCAAATGTTGTTTTTCTGTATGGGATCTCCACATACAGTGTGGGGGCTGGGCAAGACCATGAAGTGCTTTATACACAAGGCAACAGTTTTTAAAATTGGTAACGTTTTGAAGTAAGTATTCTGACCCGAGTACTGTATTTGTATAGCATCAGTTTTATATAGCGCTTTATTCTGGACACTCAAAGACGCTTCACATGTCATTATTCATTCATTCCATACACCATCCATCCATTTTCTTCCCCTTAATCCATTTTTGGGTCAGGGGGGTGGCAGTCAGAGCTGCACCCAGTACACTTAGCACCAGCCCCTCACTGATCCTCCTGGAAGGGGGTGAGCCCACAGGAGCTGAGGTCACATTTCCTCCCTTTGCACAATCTGAGTGTCTCTATCCATGCCAAACGTGACATGTAAATTTCTCCTATGTGAGATAAATAAAGCAAATCTTATCTTATCTTATCTTTCAGCAGGGGCTTCAGGCAAAGTGGGGTTAAGTGTCTTGCCCAAGGACACAACGACAGCAGACATCAGTGGTGATACACCATGTCACTCCATACCACCACCTCCGACCACCACCAACCATTCACACACACACCAGACTCATTCTAGACAATGGGGTAAAGTGTCATGCCTAAGGACACAACGCCAGTTTGGCACTTTACAGCCGCAGCCGCCCCACTGTGGCACCTGGTGTTCCCAGAGGTTAAGTGTCTTGCCCAAGGACACAACGACAGCAGACATCAGTAGGAGTTGGTGGAAAAAAGTCTTGTTCTGATTCTATACATTATATCTTAAATACCAAAATACAGTACACAGGTCTTTCCTTCCTGCTGCTCTCAGACTGTACAATGAACAATGAGGACTAACAAACACTGCCGACCTGACCTCACATAATGTGCATCTGTGCAATAATTTGAAAAATGTCACAATGTGCAATGTTAGAGATTTTATACTTGTTTCTTTATTAAAGTCAGAGATTGTAGTTTAGTATAGAGTTAATGTCCCCTTCTCTTGTGCTCCCCATTCCTTCGGTTCTGTAACTGGTGATGCAACACTGACATTTCCTCGCTGTGGTACAAATAATGGATCTCTTTGTCTACAGATTAACCTTTGCCTATAGTCCTCATTGTTCGTAGTACAGTCTGACACCAGCAGGACGGAATGATACATCTCAAACTCCTGCATCTCCCTTAAATGTATATTGGAGGATTTTCCCAAATTTTAGGAAAGAACGGCCCTCTGCACTTATTGAACATTATAATTATTTGACGAGCACGTGTCACCAAAATGATTGACAAGTAGGAGGACCAATAGTCTTGATGATCCACCCGGAAGTGGAAAATCCTCCTATGTAGAAGCCTTCCATAAGCTTGACCTCTCTGTGCCTATCTGCGTTTTCCGAGACAGTCACTTTGACCCCCCCATCCTCCAGACAGTCACTTTGACCCCCCCACCCGTCTGCGTGTTCGTCTCGCAGTCCGACATGGCTGCAGTTTGGCACAAAGGCCTGCAATACAGCGCTAGTTAATGTTTACCCAGAAAATATGTAATTACACACTTCCCCCTAATAAAGTGTTGCAGCACCATCCTGCTCCTGCACTGTGATTATCTGCTGGCTCTGCGCCTCCTCTTCCTCTGCGCCTCCTCTTCCTCCAACACACTCCCAGCTCAGAAACACATCTATTATGTCGCACATATGAGCACTTTTTTAACCCTTTAATTGTTTCTTTAATGGCATAGATCACCTTTTTAGTCACTTTGTCTACTTATGTTAACCTCTTTGGGGAATCTCACCTGGTTTTGGGCACTTTTAACATCAAACTGCATCTCAACCATTTGGTAAAAGCCTAGAAATAAATAAAAATAGGGGTTAAAAAAACTTACTAGTTATTTGTGTAATTAGTGCTCCTACATCTTAGAAAATCCAAAAACAAAACAAAAAATACATTGCTTTCCGTGAATGTTAAAGCAGTTAAAGCAATTTTTTCAAAGATCGGTGTTGTGTGGAATTGGTTCCAGATAAAAGTTATTGAAATAGCAATGTATGAAGGGAGTTATAAGAGACTGTTTAAAAGGGCATTACACAACTATTAATTTACTAATATTTTGTTGTGTATTTGACCTTTGTTGTGACCCAGTGGCTGTAAGAGAAAGATAGATGGATAGAAACACTTCTATTCACACAAACAAATACATATATAATTCAAAAAGTTACAACAATAGTAATAAATTGCAGCAGCAGCCGTGGTGGTGTAGCCGCTGGTGAGGAGCTACTCTCTCTGGTTGATCTTAGACAATTTTCCCTGCTCTGGTTCAGAGTGAAATTCAGAATGCATTATTAGCATTTAAAAAAAAATGGATTTCCTCTTCATCTGTTTGGTTGGGTCCATCCTCTCTGCTCTGGTCTGGATCAGTGTAAAACCATGAACACTTTACTGCAGTAACATTTACGGGTAAAACACAACACTACAACTGTTTCAGAGCGACTCAGGACTCGCTGCTGTTTCCGGTGCAATCAAAAATAAACATGGGGCTTTACATGGGGGATTTAAATGTTACGCAACTTTTTATTTGAAAAAGTGAACAGTTTTTTGCAGTTTTGACCCGGTAAGAGATTGGGGCTTTACTGTTGATCCGGATTGTATATACTGTTCTCCAGGATCAATGTTGTGTGTTTCTGGTGCAGCGTCCGTCAGCAGAAAAGACCTTCTAATCAATTATTCCTCTCGCATCCTACAGACAACGTGACGGAAAGGCATGTTATGTTTTTATGAAGAAGAGACCTGAATTTGTGTCTGTAAACATCTATTGGGGAAAACTTCATTTTAATCACTGGTCTCTGGATTATTCTCGACTATTTACAAGAATCGTGGGTATCAACCGTGAATGATATCTAATCTGGTGTAGTGGAACAGCAGCGTAGCGTGCACTTTGTCCACTGGCTAACGTTAGCTTTGTCACTTCCTCATCGCAATCTTCAAAGTCATAAATGACGCTGAGCTCCCTCTTTAGTCCGCCACAAAACACAGCCCAAAACCACTTCACATGTTTCTACTCAAAACACAATGGGTGACCTCTGCTTTCAAATTGAATGGATAAATGAATTAATTTACATGTTTTTGGTTAATTGTTGGATGGATTGAACAGATTTTACATTTCACTGAATGTATTACAACCAAAAAAGGATTGGGCTGAAGCAACTTGTACGTAAGTCCGAATTCCCTCCTCACATCACATACAGGTCATTAGCTACAACTATGTAAAAAAAAAAAAAAAAAAATGTATTCCAGATTTCAAACTCTCAATATTGTATTTGCCGGAACAACATCATTTTTGTTAATTTTTTAGAATTTTTATTTTTAAGGAAAAGTGCATTAATTATTATTATTTCACATTTTAAGGTAGTTTTAAATGTTGATATCGTTACTTAAGCTGATCATCAAGGGTCATTCCACATTTACTCCATTAAAAGATTATTCTATTTCCAACTGAAGCAAATTCAGAAAGTGTATTTAATATTTCTTGTATGCACATGTAGAATCATTTTCCCTGTAGAATTGGAATATTCTTTGTATTTTTTGGTTTTTTATTTGCTTTTTTTGTTCAGATACATCAGAAATCAAATAAAAGTCACATTTCGACCTCAGATGGAGTTTTTCCGTCGCAGAGTCGGAGCGAGGGACGTCTGAGCGAGGCCTAAACATGTCTTTAAAAAGCATTTAGGACTGAATGACTTTATGAAGGACTATTTTCAGATTCTAACGAGGTCTGTAGCGGGAGCAGACATCGGTCACTTCAGAATAGTAACGACATGACCTCAGAGAGGAGGCTACGCAACATCTGCAAGAAAGAAAAGCATTGTTTGAGGACAAATACTGTACAATTCTGTAAATTCTTTAGGCTCAGGGTCAAAAACAGGATCTTACTCAAAAGATTGGTTCAAAAAGATACAGATTTATAAGTAACTGTATGTACATGCAAGTAATGAGGCTATGTTGTGAAGGTGCGTGTGTGTGTGTGTGCGTGTGCATATGTTTGTTTTGTGGACATATGAGGACTTTTGTATGATAAAACACCTTCAATATGAGGACCTGAGGAAATATGGGGACATTTTTCAGGTCCCCATTTGTAGAGGCCCAGAAGAAGCGCCACACCAAAATTCAAACATGCCTCAAAATGTCTACAAATACTGAAAATGTGTGTCGGGGCTGAAACACTCCGTCCCAAAAATTTTGACGCGCCCCCTATGGTCGTGCACGGAACTACCTTAACACACTTTTAACACAAACACACTTGTCCTCATATGTCACCTATTTTGTCTCAAACTTAAATACATTCCCAGAGGTGGGTAGAATAGCCAAAATGTTGACTCAAGGTAATTTAAAAAGATACTTGAGTAGTGAATGAGTGTTTGTAAAAAAAACTTTCAGCCGGTAGGGGCCTTTCGGAATGGAGCTTACATGTTGTCCTTGTGTCAGTAGATTTTCTCCCTGAAAAAAATTCTTAACTCCAGTAGGAAAATCATGTTTAAATTAGGATTTAAAACATCAAAAACAAATATAAAAGTGAGGTGTCAAAAATGACAAACATTTATAAAAATTAGGGCCGGGACTTTAACAAGTTAATTACGATTAATTAATGCCACAAAAATTAGTGTTTTTTCCACCGCGGAACGTTCCTCATTGGAGGATATGTTTCAGACGGACCGATTATGCACCAATGCTGGAGCAAGACCGATTATGCTGGAGCACCAACTGAGCTCCGTGACTTTTCTTGTTCAAAAGTACATTATAACAAGCACAGACCAACTTTAGAGGTCTGAGTAGTGAGCAGTGGGGGCGGGTCCCGGCTCAAAAGTGGCCAAAATGACGTCTGCTGACATGCTTGCAATACCACCCCGGGCCGATGGGGGTGGACCCAGAAGTAGAATTAGCCAATGCTAACATATAGCATTGGCAGACCTCTCAAAAACGTCTTTACAGGATGGTCCAAAAGTTGGCTCTTGGCCCAAAGCTCCGTCCCACATGTGTGTCAATGCTGAGGGGGGTGATTTTTTTTGGACCACTCAAGTTTACTTGCTGTGAATTTTTGAAGTCTCTCGTTCAAATGAATGGAGCTCGCGCCGGCTGACGCATGCGCAGATGCGTTTTTTCACAATTTACTTGTGGGTGGGACCACTCACGGCCATTTTGGATTGCTCCAGTAGAGCACAATTTTTGGCCCATTAGTTAGAACAGCGGAGATAGGCGTGACTCTGTCCGTTAATATATACAGTCTATGGTAGTGAGTGAGTGAGTTAGAGATGGGAAAGAGCGCTGTGTATGGAGCTATGAACTCACCGGGTGAGGAGGAAGAGCAGCAAGCGACTCCTCGGAGAAGGAGGAGGATGCAAAGGAGGAGCAACTACACAGGTGTGTGAGCTGCTATTGCTGATGTTTTAGTTAAAATGCACACATCAAAAACATATTTTAAGCTTTATTGTTCACTAGGGCAAAAAATCATATTCGAAGTTTGCTTGTTTAATAATTTAAACATTTGAATATATTCAGATGTTGAATTATAAATTATAAAATGGCTCCTAACATTATTCAGCGAGTACAACGGGCTTTCAGCAGGCGCCTGTCAATACTTGTGTCTGTGCAGACAGGCTAGCCCATGGCTAGCTCCGCTAGCCCCGGTAGCCCGAAGTAACCATCCACATGAAACGGACATTTTAGGACACATTTGAAGAGGATCTGATTATGGATATAGGTTGGGTATATAAATGGGTACCTCACCGCTGATGGTCAGAATTCTTTGTTCAGTTTTCATGTAGTTCCAGAGAGTTATTGAACTAGCTAGCTTAGCTGTTATCCGCCTAGCACAATAGATTCATGGCCTAGCCACATCACAGTGAAACCTTTGGGAGCTATTTATTTTATTTGCAGTCATTAAATAAATTTGGAATATTAAGGGCTGTCTAATATTCGTTCGAATATATATATATTTTTTTAATATTCAAATTATATTCGAATATTGGATTTTGAAGTCAAAGCCCTAGTGCTCACTGTTAGTGCAGTGGATTTTGGTTATAAAAAGCGAGTGTGTGGAGGCTATAACAGATAAGTTATTTGATGGAAAGAAGTCCGTCTGCTCCCCTTATCATCCTCAATGAAAATGTGTTGCTTAAGCTTATGTATTCAGTCATTATTCAATGGTAAACTAAAAATCTATGTGTAAAAAAATGACGTCTTACTGTTCTCAGGACAAATATTTATATGCAATTAAAATGTAATTAATTGTGATTAATTAATCACACAGCCTCTAATTAATTAGATAAATGTTTTAATCGAGTCCCAGCCCTAATAAAATAAATAATTCTAAAATAAAGTTATAATGTATTTGTCCACCTACAGAGTTACTCTCCGTGAAAGGAGTAACTAAATATTTCACTCAGACCTGAAGTGCTGGAGCTCCTTGTTTTTAGTTTTTTTTTTATTATTATT